TGGTTTCGATTCACGACATGGGTACAATGTGTGAAGCCCATTTCTGGTGTCCCCCGCCGTGATATTGCTGGAATATTGCTAAAAGCGGCGTAAAACCATACTCACTCACTCACTCTATTAGGAGGATAGAATTACCACACATCCATGGATTTTTCTTTCAGTACAGCCTTGGAGCAAGGCTAATAAATAGATTACTGACATGACAACGGATTTGCTTAGGTTTCAAATTATAAACCATATTCTTGATTCTATATACTTTACTTCAGTAAATGCAACATTGTTTCCATGGAAACTGTGCATTCAGTATTATGCGGCAAGTTTTTCCTGTGTGTAAATATTATAACCTTTCACCATAAAGGAAGGAATGTGTCCCAAGTCTACATACCTACCCACGACTGTGAGGCAGCCACAAACTATGTATAGTGTTACTGTGATGGTGATGTCAACATGCAATATAACAGACTGTTCAACCTGAAAGGAATGTAGAGCACTGCCAATGACTCTCCAAATCTGTTAACACGCATGCTGTGCTCATGGGTGTTTAGTTGTCATTTGTGATCTTTCAGTCCACGTTGTCAAATCTGCCCACTTCATTCTGGTCATCCTCCACGTAATTTTGCTGGGATTTTGCTAACAGTGGTGTTAAATCCAACTCATTGACTCTCTCATCCTCCAACTGCAAGGTTCTCGACTGATGCAAGTGATGCCAGGACATATTGATTGTGTTTGAATCTCACTTTCTCCCCGATTTGTTTTCCTTGGTTTGTCAGCACCAGATAATTGGCATACACCAATACACCAATACAGACTGCGATAGAAATGAAACATTGTTCAAGGCAGCGTTAACACAACTCACTCACTCACTCACTCACTCACTCACTCACTCACTCACTAGAATGTGGATCAGGAGATCTGGTGACCTTAGAAGACTATTGATAGGATGACAGTAATTGACTCCCTCACTCACTCACTCACTCACTCACTCACTCACTCACTCACTAGAATGTGGATCAGGAGATCTGGTGAGCTTAGAAGACTATTGATAGGATGACAGTAATTGACTCCCTCACTCACTCACTCACTCACTCACTCACTCACTCACTCACTCACTCACTTACTAGAATGTGGATTAGGAGATCTGGTGAGCTATTGATAGGATGACAGTAATTGAATACAAAAAGGTCTCTTTGCTTGAATTTCAGTTAGTCTGAGTGAACTAGAACAGCTGATGTATGGAGAACAAATTCTCAGTCTCTGGCGACTTGAATTAGCCACTTCACTTTGTGTGTCCAGGACAACTTTTGACCAGCTGCCTTAAAAATTTGTTTTTTTTAGAAACTGTTCCTGCATGTCCAGAGAATTTCGTTCACGAGTCATCATAGATTGTAGTTGGTTCTGCTTGAATGAGACAAATATGTTTTCATTTTCTGTCAGTTTTATTCCATCCCAATTTGCCGCAAAACTGAATCTTCGAGAACTGGTTCAGAATTATATTATCAGTCAATGAGGACTACCATTATTGGATTTTTACTTGTCCTGAGCGCAATTTAGTAGTCTCCGGCTTGCGGACTAGCATGAACTTTTGAAGGCTGGAACAGGAAAATAGATGAGAGGCAAAAGTATATTTGCTGTATAACACCATGTCATGTTACTGAGCAACCGTTTGATTTTCATTAGGAGGGGTAGGGAGGACAGGATTATTTTGTAAAAAGTAATCAAACATTTTTTAGATATGCCTTGCATTGGTGGTGGGGGGGTAGGGGAATAATGTGCTCATTTTTGCAATCAAATGTCTGAAGAAAACAGTTTGTTATTTTTATGTTTTTTATAAAACTAATTGAGCACCTATTTTTGTTGAATTTTTTTTTTAAATAATTGAGCTCAATAACATTACAAAAAAGGTGAATTTCAAACAAATGGTTGTTTCTTTCCAGTAGGCTGGGTGATGGTAACAGTACTCACTGTGTTATACAGGTCAAAAACATCCTGTAATAAATGGATGTCGTGGTAGTGTCAACAGGAACCTAACTTGCCTCTAGGACAATGTGGGGATGGTTCGTACTCGTCTAATTTTACACACAGCTTGTTGTGGACTTTAGACATCTCACTTTAATTAGATAGTTATCAGCATATGACAGTGTTGTGGGAATCCTGACTCTCTGCAATGTGGCCACAGACTCGTGAATCCAGGGTAGAATAGGTCTTGAGTGGGTGAGTGAGTGAGTGAATACGGTTTTACGCCGCTTTTGGCAATATTACAGCAATATCACGGCGGGGGACACCAGAAATGGGCTTCACACATTGTACCCATGTCGGGAATCGAACCCGGGTCTTCGGCGTGACGAGCGAACGCTTTAACCACTAGGCTACCCGACCGCCCCTGTCTTGAGCAATCCATGCTTGCCATAAAAAGCGACTGTTTGTCTTAAGAGGCAACTCAGGGGATCGGGTGGTCAGGCTCGCTGACTTGATTGATGCATGTCATTATCATTAATTATATGCCAATTTACGTGGATCGATGTTCATGATTGTCTGGTCCAGCCTCAATTACTTACTGCCTTCATATAGCTGGAATATTTCTGAGTGCGGCGTTAAACAACAAACAAACAAAAACAATATGGTAACAATTGTGAGTTAATAAATTGTTGTCCTTCCCTGCCTTTAGTAATATTCCAGCTGTATCAAAACAGGTGTGTAAATAATGAGCTTGTCCCATGAAACCTGTGGTTGACATCAGGGGCAACAATCCACACCATCAGGGTATGACGACACACTCGGCTAGGTCATACAATGTGACCACCTGATTCTCTTATGGTCCTGTCTGATTTGAGCCCACAGATTCAGGGTCAGTATGGTACATATATATCTGATGCTGAGTGAGTGAGTGAGTGAGTTAGGTTTTACGCCACTTTTAGCAATATCAAGGCGGGGAACACCACAATTGGGCTTCACACATTGTACCCATGTCGGGAATCGAACCCGGGTCTTCGACGTGACGCCCCGTATCTGATACTAAACTAAAGCTAACACTAATGAACTAATTTTCTAAATGAAAATTGTTATTTGTGAATTTAAAGTTGTTAGTATGTTATTTTGATACTGTTAGTTTAATGAGTAGAGGGGCAGTCACTAAATAATATTTTGGCTGTATTCAAGAAAAGGTCAAAGCCATTGTCAGCCTAAATGTGGACCAAATTACTAATCACTAGATAACCAGATAATTTTCCCCGTCAGTGAAGATAAATATTTACAGACTTATCAACATCAATTATTTCTACTCTTATCAAAGGTCACATGGTCAAGGTGTGATCTAAGTCATGTTTCATCTCTCCTTGATTAACATTCATGTTGACGAAGTATTATATATAAGCAGCAGTTTTCGACAGTAGGTTAAGGGGTGTTTACCGAACCCTTCATGTTACATGTTAACCATCTAAGGGACCCACGATTAGAATGAGTGAGTGAGTATGGTTTTATGCTGCTTTTAGCAATATTCCAGCTAATAATATCATGGCGGGGAACACCAGAAATGGGCTTCACACATTGTGACCATGTAGGGAATCGAAACCAAGTCTTCAGCGTGACAAGGGAACGCTTTAACCACTTAGTCTACCCCCCCCAAAAGATTGGAATATTTAAAATATTAAATCCTCAGGTTAGACTTAAAGACCCCTCTGTCTGTCCCCTGAGTTCTGACATTGAGCATATACTTATCATGCTTATAGACTTATATGAAAAAATATTTTTAGAAAAATATGTCTTAATACAATTGGGTTTTCTAGGAAAGACTAGGCCCCAAGAAGCTGTTTGTCTTGAGAGTCAATTGAGGTAGATCTATTTGCTGGGCACAGTGACTTGGCTGACCGGGTGTCATCATGCCCCTGTTGTGTACATCTTTCCTGTTAAACAGATGGTCCAGGTTCAATTACTTGGCATGCTGTGATGTGGCTGGAACATTCATGAGAATTTTAACCTCTCTTGAAATGCAGTATTATTACCCCATGGGGAAAACATATGGGTGTGAATGTTATGATATTTGAACAGTGTGCACAATTGCTTTTCAGTTATTCCAGGCATTTGATTGGCACAATTATCACGTGTCTCAGTCCGTCCACTCCCTCCCTCCACCCTCCAAACACACACACAAATTCATGTGCCCCCCACACCCCATCCACTGCAATCATGTATCTCTCCTACCCCCATCTCCCTCCCTCCGCCCTCATCCCCACTCCCACCCCCATCTCCCTCCCTCCACCCTCATCCCAACCTCCCACAACAATCATGTATCCCCTAACACCACACAACCACATTCATGTGTCTCCTACCCCCCTTCTCCCTCCCTCCACCCTCAACCCCCACGAGATTCCACCCACCACAACAATCATGTATCTCTCCTACCCCCATCTCCCTCCCTCCGCCCTAAACCTCACTCCCCACACCCCAACAACCATGTATCCCCCAACACCACATAACCACATTCATGTGTCTCCTACCCCCATTCTCCCTCCCTCCACCCTCAACCCCACTCCTACCCCCATCTCCCTCCCTCCACCCTCATCCCAACCTCCCACAACAATCATGTATCCCCTAACACCACACAACCACATTCATGTGTCTCCTACCCCCCTTCTCCCTCCCTCCACCCTCAACCCCCACGAGATTCCACCCACCACAACAATCATGTATCTCTCCTACCCCCATCTCCCTCCCTCCGCCCTAAACCTCACTCCCCACCCCCCAACAACCATGTATCCCCCAACACCACATAACCACATTCATGTGTCTCCTACCCCCATTCTCCCTCCCTCCACCCTCAACCCCCACCCCCACAATATTAATGTATCCCCCAACACCACACCCACAACATTCTTGGGACTCCCACACCCAAAACACAGCAACCATGTGTCCCCCCACACTTGCACATCAGCAATTCTTCTATCAAGGCGAACAGTGCACCTTTAACAGACTTAATTAGCAGGTGAGCCAGAAAGTATAATGGCTGCTGGGAGTTCACAGAGGAATTCATTAGATCTACACTTGTCCATGAGTTGCTGGCCTGGTGTTGGAGGGCTGGTACAAGCAGGCATGACCAGAGTAGTGGAATGAGCACGGTACAGTCACTAGGTCGGGCGTCATGGGTCACTAGGCACAGCAAGCCCTGCTGGAAGAACCAGCTTGAGTATGAAAAGCGGAGTAAGCGTGCTGCACTTGAATTAAACAGCACATGTTACAGCTCAATAGTGGCTGTTCAATACACCAGGACTCACAGTGCTGTATGCTGGGACGTACGTACGTGTTATGGGGTGTTGACACTGCTGCAGTTGGGCTTGGCTTTGTATTGAGACAGTGTAGCTTGTGCAGCACACTGTAGACTGTCAGGTGTAGCGGATACATTATCAGCAGGTTGTGGGGACCATCAGGTGAGTGGTCAATTTCAGCAGATCTGTGTTATCAGGGGTAATCTTTGTTGTCAGTTGCAGCAGAATGAGTGTTGATTTGTTACATGTACCGGTACAATGCAACAGGGTTTGTGTTAGATGCTAGAAATTTGATTGCTACCCATGCTCAGAATGTAGTCCATGTGTGGAGGTATTATGATTCTGTTCCCTCAGAGTGTGGACTGATGGACTCCCATTAATAATAATAATATAATGATAATTATAATTATAATAATATTATTACCGTATTCGACGTAATAAGCGCCCCGCTCTAATAAGCGCCCACGGCGATATTTGCTAATATATTGGCTAGTGAACAATCCCAATTAGCACTCCTTCCGATTGATCAATGTACACAAGACTTATTTATTCGCGTATAATACGCACTCGTGTGTTATATGCATTCTTAATTATGGGCAATTAAATTCTGGAAAAATGTATCTGTCGCATATAAACATTTCAGTGTGTCAGCAGAAACCACGAAATTTACCTTTCAACTCTCTTTTTTCCACCAAAATAATATTCTTATAAGAGCCCCCTATTTCTAATTTTGAGAGCGCCCTGGGCGCTTATTACGTCAAATACGGTATTATTAATAATAATAATAATAATAATAATAATAATATTATTATAATAATTATATAATATAATTTTAAATAAAAAGTCTGATGATTTATTGGTTGAACGTATCGCATGTACCAGATTATTAAAACACAACTACCTCCATGAACCCTGATGTCTGTGGATAATATAACAGAGACATCTTGTCACCTCATAATCCTAAGTTCAGTCAAAAATATATGTTGACTTAGTTGAAGACCAGCAGAGTGCAGGTATGTAGAATTAACGGAGTTAGTCTTGTGTACATTTATTATTTCATACTGAAAGAATCAAATGTAAAAAGGGAGATTTGTTGCAATAATATGTCAGAAAAAAGGTATTGATTCTTATCCACTATTATAAAACGAAACTGTTGTAAGCCAGTAATTTCTAAATAATTTTACGGGCTCATTTGATTGCCAGCATTATTCCTTTGTCCCTACATTGGCCAAAGCGTGGAAGCGGTACTTGCAGGTAGTCATTGTTATCCCGATGGAGCCACTATTCATGGCCGTTATGGTTTGATATGCAAATTACTATGACTCACATGTGTCGATGCATGGTCTGTGGAGTAGATTATGGAATATTTCAGAATGGAGACAGCTCGCTTATTGTTGTGTTGCAGATTTACTGTTGTGTCTTGAGGTGGTAATCAACAATAAGAGAGTGTGGTTTAACGCTGCTTTGAACGTTATTCCCGTATGAATCACGGTGTGTCAGCTTGATGTGGTAGGAAACTCCTGAATGATTCTAATCAAAAGAGAGCACACCAACGGATGTAGAGGGCGCCGTTGTACAAAGCGATCTTAGCGCTGAGGTGATTGTAACTACCATCCCTTAACACACCAACTGATGTAGAGTGCGCCGTTGTACAAAGCAATCTTAGCGCTGAGGTGATCGTAACTGCCATACCTTAACACACCAACTGATTTAGAGGGCGCTGTTGTACAAAGCGATCTTAGCGCTGAGGTGATCGTAACTGCCATACCTTAACACACCAACTGATGTAGAGGGCGCCGTTGTACAAAGCGATCTTAGCGCTGAGGTGATCGTAACTGCCATACCTTAACACACCAACTGATGTAGAGGGCGCCGTTGTACAAAGCGATCTTAGCGCTGTGGTGATCGTAACTGCCATCCCTTAACACACCAACTGATGTAGAGGGCGCCGTTGTACAAAGCGATCTTAGCGCTAAGGTGATCGTAACTCCCATACCTTAACATACGACAGTCATAGCGCTAAGGTTGTTTTGTACAACGGTACACTGTTCTAGATTCAGAACAGTGAGCACGGGGATAGGGCCTGAGGTACCAACTGTGTAACATTTTGGAGGATGGGGAAAAAATAAAAATGTGAAAACAAATTTTCCTCAAGTTTTACCCCAAAAGGCATGCTGGGTGTCCTTAAATAAGATGTGCTGTGAAAATAATTATATTGTTTTGCTCCATATTCCACTGGAAATAACTGTTTGTGTTTTGAAGCAGTGAACCAAAATATATGCTGTTGCTCACAGAACTGTAGATGCTCTCTAGATAAGCGAGCCTAGACCAGACAATCCAAAGATTGACATCATGAACATTGATCCACGTAATTCGGATACAGTGATATGCAACAACCAAGTCAGGGTGCCTGACCACCCGATCCCATTAGTGGCCTTTTGCGGCAAGCATGGGTCCCGCCAAAGACCCAAGTTTGATTCTCCACATGGGTCCAATAAGTGAAGCCCATTTCTGGTGCCCCCTGCCGTGATATTGCTGGAATATTGCTGAAACTCACTCACGACACTTACTCACTTACTCATCTTCAATAAAATGTTATTGATCATGATAAATTAATTATAAGATTTTCATCCTGGCTCAGCATGAAGATCTGTTTATTGTCCCCTACCTCCTGTCATGGAGACCTGGTGACAATTTACGCCATTTATACGCAGTCTTACCAAACATTCATGCTTCAGTCGTCATGTAGTAGCATGATCAGATATCATTATTAGTCAATTATATGACGTCTCTACATACTTAGCGATAAGGCCAGGCTTTTTTTATTTTTAGGATTACGGATTTTTCAGCCCAAAGTCCCGGGTTGGAGGAGGGGGAAAAAAAGGCGAGATGCATTTTTTTAAAATGCAGAATGCCTTTGGCATACTTTATGAACATATTCTGTGCTCAAAATTTTTTTTATTAAAAGGTGATGATAACAAATGAAATAACTGACTACGTGGCTATCGGCTGGGGAAAAAAAATGGAAATCTGGTTTTATTTTTTTTACATTTTCTCAAACAATTAGAGTCGGCGGGTTTGTAATCCGCAAAATATGTAACACCTGGCCTAACCCATGTCTTGTTTCGTAACATGATGTAGCCCAGTCGTCTATGGTGTCACAATTCACTGTGCAGAGTTGAGTCCCTTTAGCACGCCCGAAACTGTAATGATTTATAAATCCTGGTTGGCCCCGATGATATTTCTCGGTTTGTCAGTGCCATACCCATGCTCGTGGCTTTCACCGAGTATTAAATTTCAGTCTTACCTCCAACATTAGGCTGATATGCCTTGATATAACTGGAATACTGTTAGAAGCAGCATTGAAGCCAACTTACTAACTCTTAACATGGGGGACACGGGTGGCCCAGTCGTCTAAGGCGCTGCAATTCACTGTGCAGAGTTGAGTCCCTTGGGCGCGCTAGAAACCTATGATTGTGGGTCCGAATCCCAGTTCACCTTAATTATGTACCAAGGTTTGTTAGCACCATACCCATGCTTGTGGGTTTCACCGAAGTGGTAAACGTCTGAGACCTGCATCACTTCAGGCTCTCCTCCCACATTAAGCTGACACGCCGTGATATAACTGGAATAGTGTTAAAAGCGGCGTTAAACCCAACTCACTCCCACTCTTATCATGATGAAATGTTTAACATCAGGCATGACAACATGCAGCAGGAGGCTGTATATATTTTCACAGATTCCCGACTGATGAAATGATTACAACTGCACCTGTTGCATTCCAATAATTTGTCTGTCGAGAATAGACTTGTCAAGCTGTGAACCACATATATATCGACAGTTCACATCCATTTTTTTCTTTTGTCTGACATTATTTTTAACAAATTGGTGAAATTCTAGTAACTAATTCATTGTGGCCTTATTGAGTATATTTTGTAAAGAATGAGAAATTGTTACCAGTGATTGAATGGGTTTCATTCTTCTACTTTGAGGTCAGCCATATTGGTGGACATCTGCTTGTTGTGAGTTGTCATTGTTTGATGGAGGTATCAGCAGCTATAAAACAGATACTGTATTCCCAGTCATGATATACACACTAAGACGGGGAACGCACAAGTTTCACCGAAGTGGTAAACGTCTGGGACCTGTATCACTTCGGACTTTCCTCACACATTAAGCTGACACGCCGTGATATAACTGGATATAACTGGAATAATGTTAAAAACGGCGTTAAACCCAACTCACTCACTCACTCTGATCTTGTTTTCATGCAATAATATTTTTTTTTAATTCTGCCATTTCAGAAAATGGCCCAAAGCAGGAACAAGACTGTACAAGGACATGAACATATGAAGGAAACAAAACAATAGGACAGAAGACTAATAGAAAATCCTCCCAATGAAGGACGTCACATGACCAGCTGAGATTTGCGGCCATATTACAAACAGAACAAGATGGGTGCAGTAAACAGTTGCTGCATACCTCGACGATCGTTCGAGGAATGCAGGGAAAACAAGATCAGCACACCACGTGTCAAAGGTCATCGACGCAATTTAAGCGCTACATTTAATTTTTCATTCGGTGACGATGATAGCGGGGATACAAATACCACCTTGCTTAACATCAATGTGGCTACGGAGGAAGAGCTTATGACATTGCCGGGGATTAACAGATCAACGGCACAAAATATTATCGACTACCGAAGACAGATTAGCAATTTCAAGAAAATTGAGGACCTTGCCTTGGTATCGGGAGTTGGTGCCACAAAATTAAGTCATATTCGATCCGAGATTTGTGTCAGTAGTAAACGTACTCCCAGCTTACACAGCAATTCACCAGATGGCAGTAAGTCGGATCTGAACAGCAGCACAACGTCAAGCTACCGTGAGAGGAAGAAAACAAACGGGATGTCCCCTGTCAAGGTCAACGTGAACTCCGCCAATGTCTTCCAGTTGATGAAGGTCAAAGGTCTTGGTCAGAGTCTTGCTGAAAATATTGTGATATATCGTGACAAGAAGGGTCCGTTTAAGTCTATCGATGATCTAGTCAAGGTGAAGGGCATTGGCCCCAGTATACTCAGTGCAATACAGCATAGTTTGACATTAGATGACAGCGATGCTGCCAAGAAACCGTCTAGTGTGTACATAAACGGAGGATTGCCAAATAATAGCAATACTGATAGCCATTGTGAATGTAATGATATTGGAAGAAATAGTTCCAGAGCTTCCATGGATAACTTGGTGGATATACTCGGTCCGCTTTCCAAGAAACCCTTTCGGGCGGAAGTAGTGCCATTTAATTTTAAGTGGAAAAACAGACGAGTGTTTCGTATTGCCAGTTGGAATCTTGAACAGTTTTCTGAGGAAAAAAGCAGGAATCCAGGTGTGCAGGAAGTGGTGGCCTTGACCTTGCTGGAAAATGGGTAGGTAATTTAATGATAATTATTGTCACAACAATAGTTGTGTCATTACAGGCCACACATAATAACATGTTATTCCACTCGAGAAATAACAGGCAACTATGCTTGTCGTAAGAGGCGACTAACAGGATCGGGTTGTCAGGCTCACTGACTTGGATTATACATGTCATCATATTCCAATTGTGTGGATCGATGCTGATGATGTCAATCACTGGATTGTTTGGGCCAGACTCGATTATTTACAGACCATCATCATATAGCTGGAATATTGTTGAGTGTAGCATGAAACAACAAACAAACAAACAAGGGAAATAATACATTATGCTGGAACTGCATTCAGTCTGCCTCAATCATAATGTATCATAATGGTTTCCAGAAGACTGTCATATTATTTTGAAACATGTATAAACACTTGCCATGATAGAAATCGTATTCCTGACTTTAGCCAAGCATTATATCTGATAAAGAATTTTACAACATAGAGATATATATACCTCAGACAGTGTTAAGATAAATGAAAAATGATCAATACTTAACTAAGATCAGATAATGATATTATCCTATCTCCTCCTCCACCTCCTCCTACTCATACTCCTCCTCCTCCTCCTCCTCCTACTCCTCCTCCTCCACCTCCTCCTACTTCTCCTCCTACTCCTACTACTCCTCCACCTCATACTCATACTCCTCCTCCTACTCCTCCACCTCCTCCTACTCCTACTCCTCCTCCCCCGACTCCTACTCCTCCTCCACCTCCTCCTACTCCTACTACTACTCCTCCACCTCCTACTCCTCCTACTCCTACTCCACCTCCTCCTACTACTACTCCTCCTCCACCTCCTACTCCTCCTCCACCTCCTACTCCTCCTCCTCCACCTCCTCCTCCTCCACCTCCTCCTCTCCTCCTCCACCTCCTCCTACTCCTCCACCTCCTCCTACTCCTCCTACTCCTACTCCCCCTCCTACACCTCCTCCTCCTACTCCTACTCCTCCTCCTCCTCCTCCTACTCCTCCACCTCTTCCACCTCATCCTACTCCTCCTCCACCTACTCCTCCTCCTCCTCCTCCACCTACTCCTTCTCCTCCTCCTACTCCTCCACCTCCACCTCCTCCTCCTACTCCTCCACCTCCTCCGCACCCTTCTTTTCTGGGGCATAACCTCTCGATTGGTCAATAGGAGGGACAAATAAGGGACATATTAGCAAACATTTCAGGCTTATAGCATGAAAGGAAGCAAGAGAGTTGCTACAATTGTGAAAGCTAGGTCCAGCATGCCTAGAGCAGGGGGGTAACACAGTGTATATGCCCCATGCATGAGTACACTGACACCCTGTAGGTAACCCAGCCACACCTCATCCGTGTTTTTTTTTAAAGGTAGGTCACAGTCACGGTGTACACATGAAGCAAGGGGCTGTGGGGCTGTGGGGAAACTACTGAATGATAGAGCTTGGCATGTTCAGTCCTCACCCTTTAAGTCGTTGGTGTGAATGTCATTATGTTCATGACATGCATCGCCTATCATGTATTCCTATTCATGGTACACCTGTACAGCTTGCACAAATTTCAATGTGTTAGGAGCAAGTGAGTGAGTGAGTTAAAAGTTTAACGTCGCATCAGCATTTTTTCAGCCACATAGTGATTTTGGGAGCAAGTGAAAAGTTTGATGTATAAATATCTTAATTCTTTAAGTTTAGGGGTGGGGTAGAGAATAAATTAGAAAAATGAATCCAACTCAAGTCTAGAATGCCTCATCCTGAAATAAAGCATTGTTCTGGGCTCCATTTGGATTATATTTTTATATTTTTTAGATGTATGTTTTTCAGTAAGATGACTATATTTCTGAGACTAAATGTAAGTCCAGGGATGGGGAGGTTCACACTGGTTTTCCATCTGACAAAATCAGTTGGTTTTTTTACATTTTTAGTGTATTGTAACCATGGTAACAGTTCAAGTCTTTTCCATTTTTAGGATGATTACATTCACCTTCCAGTTGATAAAAGTACAAAATGTCCGATAGGGAATAGTTTGACGATAGCCCTGGCAAAATGTAGTTAGATACACGTATGAAGCGATCTGGTCATGCACACGCTGAAATTGACTGAAGTTTTATCTTGATTCAAACATATTAAACTTCAGAAGCAGGGGTCCGGAGAATTTAAAATCCCAATCGGACATTTGCATTTAGGCCACGCCCCCTTCAAATAGTATATTTTAGTACGACTTCACACACATAACAAGTTGTTACGTAAATGTTCCCTCGTTATTGCGCGCTTTGGTTATAGTGTGCGGTAAAGCATGGCTCCCAAAATTTATTTCCAATGGCATGATGTTTTCCCCCATTTCAGAAAACATTATCAGCTAATTTCCGGCTTAGTTTAAATTACGAGAAAATACACACGGTAATCGTAATCTCTGCATATAAAACAATGCCTTGGAGAGCAGGAAATACATTTTCAATGGTAAATCATGTCTCGTGATGTTTTATATCAAATTTCATACTTTTATTGACCAAGTTTGTTTTACCTGTTTATTCACCTGAATTCGCTGAAGGGATAAGATAACGCTCATCAATTTTTTTTACCCCGAAGGTAGCGTCGTTTGTTTTTTAAAATGTCCGGACAGAAAAATTTAAATGTCCGGTAAGCAATATTTTAAACTGGACATTTGAGATTCCCAATCGGACATGTCCCGTGCATATGACCGTTGCCGGACCCCTGGTCAGAAGGAATGTACAGTAGCATGGAGTTCTAGATAATTTTTGTCATTAATCAATATATCACGTGACTAACCACTGGTCCGGGTTACCCGTCCCAGCCCTAGTGCTTGAGTTTCTTTTAATGAAGAGATCTATGCAAATAATCAAGTTCGTCATTATCAATGATCATTTGATCATATTTGAAATGCTGTTAGGTTAAATGTTGAAAGAAGTGTATTTGAGTGCACAGCGCATAATTCAATACTCTTTTTGTTACTATAGCAATAAGCACACAGGACCAGTCTGATAATGAATCTCAAGAAAACTGCACCGTCATCAAATAGGCAGATACTCTTTATGTTATAGAGTTAGGAAAACGTGGAGGACTCCATCAACCCAGGACGTGCTGTGTCGTGATGACCTTTAATTAAACACTTAGAATAGGTCACAAGAGTTGTCGGATGAGTGTCACGCTGAACTTGCTCCAGTATTTACTGTTTCAGTATCTGATCCTCAGAGTCAATAAATTATTAATTAACGGTGCACTTTTATGAAGCTATTTCAAGCTTCCAGTTGTTTTATTTATACATGAAGGGTAGCTAAGAGATAGATATCAACCATGTTTGGTTGGAAGCAATGTCTCCGGTGGTGAGGATTCAAAATTGGACAAATGGGGGGTGGGGTGGGGGGGCTGACCCCCCTGAGGGGCTGAGGGGTGGGGTGGGGGTGAAATAGGAGTAATTTGGCGTTATTGCTTTAAACAACTTCTTCTCTGGAACGAAGAGATAGATACCAACCATATTTGGTTGGAAGCATTCTCTGATGACGATGATTCAAAATTGTACAAAAAATGGTGGGGCTGACCCCCTAAGGGGCGGAGGGACAGGGTGAAATAGGAGTAATTTGGCGTTATTGCTTTAAACAACTTCTTCTCTTGAACTGAGAGATAGATATCAACCATATTTGGTTGGAAGCATTCTCTGGTGGTCAGGATTCAAAATTGTACAAAAAATGGTGGGGCTGACCCCCTAAGGTGCGGAGGGACAGGGTGAAATAGGAGTAATTTGGCGTTATTGCTTTAAACAACTTCTTCTCTTGAACTGAGAGATAGATATCAACCATATTTGGTTGGAAGCATTCTCTGGTGGTGAGGATTCAAAATTGTACAAAAAATGGTGGGGCTGACCCCCTAAGGGGCGGAGGGACAGGGTGAAATAGGAGTAATTTGGCGTTATTGCTTTAAACAACTTCTTCTCTTGAACTGAGAGATAGATATCAACCATATTTGGTTGGAAGCATTCTCAGGTGGTGAGGATTCAAAATTGTACAAAAAATGGTGGGGCTGGGAAATATTGGCAGTATTATATACATGTACAATGCATATGTATATTTTGTCATGATTGCGTAATTATCCAGGTGAGCGATACAGGCCGTATGGGCCTCTTGTTTTCTATAAAAAAAAATTGAGCAAACATGCAAATAGTAATAAATTTGAAATTTGAAATTTTTTGGTTTATGATTTATTTGGGTCAGATTGGTCAGATACATAAACTGAAATTTAAAAACATGTCCCTAAGCTACTACTATGAAATAGTGTGATTATAAAGACATGATAATTTTCTGGACTGTTGACATGCTGATGGCTGAGAGCTGGTCTGTAATAAAACAGCAATGTTGCTGAATTTTATTCAAAATATACTTTATCAGGACATCTTTCCTTAAGATTTACAGTTATTTCAAGAAGGCATTTGTCAGGAAAGGAATCTCAAGACAACTCTGACATGTTCTATTTCTTCTATTTTGCATCCTGTTGGTGGTACATGTACTTGGCATTAGGAGTGGACTATCTGTGAAAAACGAAATTCATTTGGTCTGACCTGAAAGTTATGAATACAGATTGCCACTGGTGTCTTTTTCTCATGTTGATATCAAATATATCAATGCTCATCAATTAAAGTTTTAAATTATGAGGTAGTTTTAACCTTTTTTATCGACAAGTGTTGATATATTTGATATTTTAAAAATAGGCAGATCTAAAATCATTCTTCCCATTTTTTTAGTAATAACAATGTTAAAAGTAGAGCAACCAGCTGAGATTAGTGATGTCATTTGATTGTGATGTCATGGTAACTGATCTCTGCAAAGTGATATCTCCCGTTTTGGTTGATAAATCAGTACTCTTTATGCAGATCATTTCAGTTCAATAGGTATAGTATTTTGCATTATGAAAATTGCTATGTAAATTCAACTCAGGTGCCTAACAACAGCTCAATTAAGTGTTTCATCATGTGGAAAATCAGCAGTATTTAAG